TGGCTAGTCGTTCTATTAACTGCAAAAGAAACAGGTCGTTATCATAAAGCACACGAACAGACAATATACCTAACGAAGAAGGACCTACTTGGCGCCTGAAAGTGGCAGTAGCCGTCGTAGTAGAAAAAGAAGAATTTGGTCTCGTAGGCTCCTGCGTTGCTGGGATAGCTATGTATCCCCTCGGCAATGGTAGGTCACCGGGACAAGTAATACGAGTCCTTGTCCCTACTCTTTTTGAGATAGTAAGCGACGCCGAGTTCCACCGTCGTCAGCTCGCCCAAGCCGCTCTCGCAGCACCTGATGTACATCGCTACGGTGATGACATACGCGTTCGGTGTGAGCTACATCGGTGCGATCCCGAAGTGATCCAGGACCGACCTGATGAAAGGATGGAAGGGAATCATCCCTCCACCCTTGAAGATCTCTTTGGAGATCGCAGCGAGGCCGTCGGCAGGATGTCGCGACGACCTGGTATGGTCGAGGAACACCTCTGCTCGGACGTTATATTGCTTGTTGATCCTATCAAACTCTTCTCGGGTGAGAACCAAGAAGACGTTGAGGGACGCGTCCACGGGAACTTCCCGCATGGACGAGCTGGTTCCTTCCTCGGGTCTGGACGTTGACGGATCCATTCGAGTTTGCAACATCGACAGACACGGTCATTTAATCCTTCGTGTTTTGCCCTATGCGACGGCAAGGGACAAACTCCTAAAACCCTAATAGTAACTCGAGCCGCCACCCACGGCTCGAGTCCGGCAACAGAGGCATGTCTCTGGTGAAACACCGAGAGACGGTGCCGTTGCCCACCAACCAAACAAATGCAAAGAAAGAAAAGAGAAGCTTACTTTCTGGGATGCGTAATCGAGGCCGAAACTCGTTCCAGTTGCCTAATAAGCGCCGATCGGAAAAGAAGTTCTCTGGTTTGGAAAGGTTTGTCACTCGAAGCAAAAGAAATGTCGGTGGCGTCATCTGAAAAACACGAGTTCTTATATGGGCAACGAATCGACGGTTGTAACCCTTCGGAATCGAAGCGACAGTTCTCTCTCCTCCCCGCATTTAATGCGCCCCACGTCGCATTAAATGCCATAATGAGGGCTGACGTTTCAGAGGCGTTGTGCAGACAAAAGACTGTCAATACGACGTCGAGTCAGCGCACGCATTTAATGCACCTGACACATCACAGAGCGAGCAGGGTGCCTGACAGCGCGGATGCAGGTTCATTGAATCTCTCCACGGCATAGAAAGGAACGCCCGACGAGTCCAGGTCGCTAGCATGATGGTCATCAGGTCGTTTAGACAAGGGTAGCTCGGGGTCGTGCTCGCAAAGGATTCTGCACCGAGCTTCACCGTTCAGGCCTGCCAAACGATATGGAGCTCCCACGCGTCCATTTCTCTGCCGTAAACCGTGCGAAGTCAGCTTGGGAAGAAGGTGATGGGACATAAAGTCGGATTATATCCTGATAATCACACCAACCCAAGGATTTAATGATGATTACACGCTTTAGCTTGAGATAAAAAGGAGAGGACCCCTTCATTAGGGGGATTGGACCATTTTTCACCAGAGAAAATCACTCTCTCTCCTGTAAACAACTCATTCACTTTTCCTAAACATCCTGTAAGTCAGTCCGCTGTTGCGACCTGACCCACACTCACTATCAATACAAATCAGTGGACGTAGGACTTGCTACCTTAGCATCCGAACCACTTTAAAAGTTCTTATAACATTTACTTCTCTTTATATATTCATTTTCACGTGTGCTTTTTGATCAATCAACTTTGCACACGTATTGATTAGTTGGTGCCCAAAATCCCCGCATCAACATAAATGATTTTCGTAAGAAAAACTAGTTTGCTTACGGATTTTTATATTCACTAATATTGTGTATGCAGTGTGGTTTCCTCTAATATTTCTTTAAAATTTTCCGTTCGTTTGCTAAGTGATAAAAGCAATGTCAGCTGATTGGGTAATACCTAGTCCTCTGTTTTCTTTTTCTTCTTTTCTGTATTCTATTTACTAACATGAAGAATAAATCAAACAATAAAAGATTCTGAAAACATATCAGTATTCTCTTAACATCTTCACAAAACTCATTGACTAGAATCTTTTATAAAGGTATGGAAGCAAAACGATCTCAAGGAATCTTTATCTTGGGACTTCCTGTCACTGACATCTTAATTCAGAAGAGAATATAATCAGTGATGACAATGGGGCGCTCTATATGGAGAGTAATATAAACAGAGTCCATTGAATTTAACAAATTGAGTTTGCAAAACTCATAAATTAATATAAAAATGAAAATTCTTGTTTATTGCTCTTCTTAATTGCTTAGTATTTCACGGACTAAAAATAATTTCTCCCCTTCAGGCATACTTTATGGATACTAAGATATGCAGAGTAAAATCTAGCCAGCTGTTTTTAGCAAAGGAGCACAATGAATAATTAAGGGTACATAATTATCTGTTTTCCCTCAAGTATTCTGTTGTGATAGAGAGTCAAAAACTTGTCCTCTTGTAGTGACTACTTTTCTACTTGATTCTGAATGATGATTTTCCAAATCAATTCTTTAGTCTACTTTTCTACGTGACATGCTGACGTTGACCTCTTCCAACTTTGATTTTTGATTTAATTAATTGAACCATGATGCTTCTCTATTGGATTCAATGTTGAGGGACAACGATGTTGCTGCAAAGTATATTCTACACGACTGCAGTAGTCTTTTTAAGAGGATATGCTTCTGTGGTACTTCTGTACTGCTTGATTCTGGTAGGCTGCAATGAAGTTGCAACATATTGATCAAGTGATGTATATTAACTGCTCGGCTCATGGATAAATTGTTTACCCAGATATATATATGAAAGTGGTTAATTTCCGTCTTCAAGACTATGATCACTTGAACAAAGCTGTTCTTCTTGGGATTAATTGTCTTATTTCATTTGGGTGCAGTTGGCTGTCTTATTTTTTATCTACTACTATTGCGTTCATCATCAGCTTTTCAAGCAGTTTTTTCAGTTGTGCTGATTATACTGGCTGGGAGGTTCCGCTGGTTGCAGGTTGATTCTCGAGATTGGTGAGAGCTTAATTTCTTGTATCTGTTGCAAACTTGCAATTTTAGTAGTCTGTAAATTACTAGATGTGAAAGAGTTGAAAATTTGTTCTGCTACTGCGATTATATTTCTACTGAACTCTGTAGAAGACTTGCATTTTCTGGCATACTTTTTTCTTCTGTTAAGGGACTTTATCAAGTTGCTGTAAAATGTTGCCAAGCATGACATTCTGCAATACAAAATCTTGAGGTAAACCAGAATTGAATTATTTTTCCTTCTTGTTCCATGCAAGGGATACTTGTATTAATAAGGGCAAAATGATCATTTCACATTCATATTTAATGACAGTCTTACAAGGAAAAGTTGATAAAATATGCCGAGTGTCATTAAATTGAAGAAGGCTATTTTGGTAAATTAAATGTGACAAAAAGGGTAGAAACATCAATTTAACACAGCTATTAACCCTTAAAGGAAAAAATGCACATTTCAACACTCTTGACACACTTTTTTAACACATTTCAAAAGAATGGAGTTTAGTGTTATATTTATGAAACCGGCTGGTGCTTAAAGAATTGGTAAAACCTACAAGGTTTTACTATGAAGAAAAAAATCCTTTTAGTGTAAAACATTTAATTTATACAAATGCATGCCTCCTAGTCCTAGTCCTTGTCTCATCTGCTTCTAATTCTATATTCTTTTTGTTTTTCATTTATCTGTAATTCAACCCTTCTTTTCAAACATTCCCTATCCTTTTCTTGCGAGTTAATTCCTTTTAGTCTCTATGCTTTTAGTTTACTACTATTTAAAGACAATCATTTCAAAGTACTATTGTTTTGATCTGTTAACTTAATAAAATGTTAGTTGACCGTTAAATTTATTTTGAAATAACAAAAATACCCTTTTTAGAAAGAAAAAAAAAAAAGAAAAATTACTAACACAAACAACGCTAAATTGAGTGAACACATTACACACTACAAATTCAAATTAAATAAACATATTATAGACAACAAATTCATCATATTTATATAATTTTTATTTTCAAATGTGTAATGTGTAATTTTCTTTATTAGTGCATATATAATTTTACTAGACATTTAAAAAAAAAAAAATGCAATCTTATGTCAATGTTTAATAAAATTTTAAAAACTTTATAAGAGCGTATTTTTGTCATTTCAATATAAATTAACAGTCAACTAACTTTTATTGAGTCAAAGCACTAATACAAAAATATTTTGAAATGATAAGGACCAAAATTAGTTATTTGAAATGATTGTCCTTAAATCAGTCAACTAAAACCATAGGGACCAAAAAAACTAACTCCTTATCTTGAATGGCCGCTGTCCTTCCACATCAAATCCAACAAAGCAACCAATTCTTTTATTTTTTAAATGTAGCATTCAATCATATGGCAAAATGAATCTTGTAATTAAATAAACGCTTTTGCTTTGTCTGACAGCAATTAAATATTTAATTTTTGCATTTATCGGATTTCTGTATTCTTTTGCTTTTGCTTTTACTTTGTACAAAAGCAAAAATGAAATTGCTACTATTTAATTGTAGTTTGATGGGCAATGGTAGCCATTAATTGAAGTTTCTTATTGTGTATGAAGGTTCTATATCACTGAAGATTGATCGAAGATTGATCTTGGGAATTTTAAAGATAATAAATTTGGGAAATTTTAATGACCAATTCAAAAGCCATGAGCTTTATTTCATTCCAATGTTGTGGTTGCTTGATAAACAATTATACCTCAGCATATCAAATACATCAAGTAATGTTGGAATAAAGCAACCTTTTTTTAACATTTATTCCTTTTGTTCTAATTGACGCATGCCTTATCAGAAACATGATAACCTCTTTATAATTATATTCTTACACTCTTCTAATATTTCCTTCTCTCTAATTCATCGCTTAAGAAACAATTTCACTAGCTTTACTGCTATCCAAAAGAAAAATGGCTGATGGAATTCTGTTTGACATGGCTGGGAAACTCTTGCAATTGTTGGGACCCCATGTTTTCCAAGAAATTGGACTGGCCTGGGGAGTTCAAGATGATATCACTAAGATCAAGGAAACTTTTTGTAGTATGAAGGCGGTTCTTCTCGATGCTGAAAAGCAGCATAGCAAGACGAATGAACTGGTGATAGAATGGCTTCGAAGGCTCAAAGTTGTATTTTATGAAGCGGATGATGCATTGGATGATCTCTCCACCAAACTTATAAAGCGAGAAATGATGGAGGGTAATAAATTGGCAAAAGAGGTATGCATCTTCTTCTCCAAGTCTAACCAAATTGCATATAGTCTTAAGATGGCTCATAAAATTAAGACTGTTAGGGAGAAGCTAGATGACATTGCAAAAGATATGACCCAATTCCATTTTATTGAGCATCACTTTGAGAAACCAATCTTGAATACAAAAAGAGAAACACACTCTTTTGAACTTGTTGAAAATGTTATTGGGAGGGAAGATGATAAAAATAAAACCATACAACTTTTGTTAGACTCAAATTATGATGAGTATGTCTCTGTTATTTCCATAGTTGGTATTGGTGGATTAGGAAAAACCACACTTGCTCGGCTCGTCTACAATGATGAAAAAGTCAAACGTCAATTCGATTTAAAAATATGGACATGTGTGTTTGATGAGTTTAGTGTGAAAGAAATTGTTAATAACATCTTAAAATCTATAAATGCTGGAAAAGTAGGATTTGAGAATCTTAACTTTGAAGAGTTGTTGCAAATCCTTCGTGAAAAAATTAATGGAAAAAAATATCTACTAGTTTTGGACGACATATGGAATGAGAATCGTGAGAAGTGGCTTCAATTGAAAACACTACTAATGAATGACGTGAAAGGAAGTAAGGTACTAGTTACTACTCTGTCACATTTCAATTTTTCATATACACATTTCTATATACAAGAGTATGGCAAGCTAAAAGTGCTACTGCACTGATGTTTTTTCTGCCTTGGAAGTACTATGCAACAAGTAGGAAAACATTTTGTTTTTTCATTCTTGACTTTCACAAGTCTTAATGCTTGCAAGCATGATTCAGTAGTATAAAATATTGAGGTAAACTCCATTGTAATTGGTTTATTTCTTCTTCTCACAACCATTAATATTTTCTCTAGTGAGTGGATGAAGACAATAGTGTTGGCGGCAATATGTTCTAGAACATGTACCAATTTAGTGTATATAGCATGCATTAGAATTTTCCAAACTTTACATATTAGGAAATAATTTTACCATGTCGTTATCCTTGTAAAAAATTTCAACATTTGAAAGTTATTTCAATTGAGAAGCCTCTATCTTATTAAATATCAAGAAACTGGCTACTTTTAAATTCTCATTTAACTTTCCTTCTGTTTTAATTATAGCAGCATTTATGGGTGGATTTTTCTCAGAAGTTTGAGATTTGTTGGTACTGCATGCGGTGTTTCTCATAAAGTTTTTTATGCAGCTTAGTAGTTAGTTGTGCTGATTGTTGTGCTACCTTGGGGAGTTAAATTATTTTAGAATCAGCTACAGTTCTGGACTTTCTGGAGTCGTGGTACATTCTTATAAGTGCAGTAGTCCCACGTGTTGTGATACAGAGTCAAAAACTTGTCCTCCTGCGGTGATTACTTTTCTACAGTTTATAAATAAATATAAAAATGTCAACTTTTTTTGCTGGCATACTTTACAATAACAAATCTGAGTTGCCGACATAATGCACAAAATTGTTTTGTGAATTTTCAGATACGCAGAGTGAAATCTGGCTGTTTCAAACCAAGAAGCAACATTTTGAGGCAAAGTAGATTCTAACAGTTGCGCATCATCATTGAATTCAATATGGCTATTCTGTTGTTCATTTCAGTTCATATGTATTTTGCAATGTTTAAACTGATATATCTACGATATTATAGTTAGTTGACTCAATTACTGTGATCACTAAAAAGAAAAAAGAAAAATTACTTGGTCTATTTCTAACATTTATCAAATTTTTGTCCTGAAACATAGTTTTGAGAAATGGAAGTCAAGATAAAGCATAATCAAGAATTGGTTTGGATCACTTTCTGTCCAAAGGTTATAATCTTTCCAAAATCTCTAGTTGTCCATTGTGAATAATTAAGCATTCACAAATATGTTTTTGGTCTCTGTACTATTTTAATAAATAAGAAATCTAATTGTCTCTTATGTATGGTTTGTCCTGTTTTTCTTCTCATATTTTCTTATTCATATCTTTCTTTGTACAAGAATATGGCAAGCTAAAACTGACTACACAATGCACTAATGTTTCTTCAGCCATTGGTGTACTATTGCTATTATATATGCAAGAGACAGGAACAGATTGAGCAGTGAGTACACAGATTCTCTTTCTTGGTCTTTTGTTTTTTTTCTATATGTATACATTTTGTTATTTGTTCATTCTTGACTCTCAAGAATTGATTTGAAATATATATCACACCTATTCATGCTTGGAGCATGATTCAACACAATAAAATGTTGAGGTGAACTCTAATCTAATTGCCTTATTCTTCTTCTTGCTCATCCTATTACATATATGTTGACATGTTTAGACTTGTAAAATTTTTTTTTTTTATATGTAAATAGTGCTCTTGATGGAAAAAAATCTAGAACAGAAAGAAGGATTGGCTAAGATTACTCACTTCACGAAAAGGGTTTTAGACGATCATTTCAAAAAATGTCTAGTTATCCAGCACATCTGTAAAGGTTTTTTTTGTTTCTTTATCTTAGACCTTTCTTATTAGTATGACATCTATTTATTCTCCTCTTTTGAGTTCTTCTTACATTTATTTAAAGCATTAGTTTTGATAATTTTTAATCATAATTCTTATATGTAGATGTGTCTAGTGTTTCTTGCTAGCCTTTGATGCCGCTAGCCCTGCTACTGATGTGATGCACTGAAAGTAAAGAAAAAATTTTTAACTCGGAAATTTTGATTGGTAAGTATCACAAATTTTCTTTTCATGTTCTAATAGTCTCTTTCTATAAAATATAACAGTATGCTAAAAGTACCTTTTTCTAATTTGTTTTTGAATTTTCAAAAATATATTTGTGAGACGTAATTTCATATTGCTTGAAACCATGACATTTTGTAATACCAGTGTTGAGGTAGATCTGAGTTAACTTCTTGTATGTTTTATCACTTCTTTCGTCTTGTGTATGGAGGAAGAGAATAGCATGATTCTTAATCCTCAATGAAATAGCCGTTCTTAAATTTTGTTTTCAAGGGAAAATATAATTTAGAGCTCGAATACTTTTGATATATAGGACGCATAAGCATTTCCCAGACATTTTAATTGAAGATATAGAAAAAGACACAGAAGAAAGGCTTTAGGAGCCTCCATTCTCTTTTCTGTTATTAAAGTTTGGTGCTTCCCCCATAAAGGCTTCAGCATATTACCCACTCTAGAATAACTAATTGCATTTGTTTTAATATTCTTCATAATCCAATCCTATTCTATTCAACTTAAAACATTTAACAATTATCTTTTACAATAAAAGTTTATAAATTAACAAAAACACCCCCATCCACCCAAGCCACTATCACCTGCCACCAGCAACCGCTGTCGCCGTCGGAATGGCGCACAATCTGTTAGATCTGGCCGGTCATGCACCGATCTTGTCTTTTCCGACCAAATTCACCTTGGATCTGGCCGTTGACGACAACAATATCTTGGCCGTCACAGATTTTTGCAGTTAACAGCAACCAGAAATCTGGCCATAACGACGGCCAGTTTTTGGCCGTAGATCTGGCATTTTTGGGCCAAATCCACGGTGGATCTGGCTGGAAAAGGCAATATCGACGTATGACAGGCCATGTCTAGCCGGTCGTGCGCCATTTTGGCAATTGACAACCACCGTCTGGTTGTGGTGGCCGGCTACCGGAATCAATTGGGTGGGTGGGAGTGTTTTTGTTAATTTATAAACTTTTATTGTTGGGGGTGTTCAGTTAAATTAACTTAACAAGTAATCTAAATATTTTCAGAAAATGTTTTCTAATAATGTACCAAACACATTCTCAGAATCCTATCCTAAAATGTTTTCAAAATAAGATTTTACAAATGCTATTCTAAAAAGTGTATCAAACGTAGTCGTAATTTTTTAAGATAGGATAGTGGAATAAGATAGGGTGAAATTAGTGTAACAAACGCAGCCTTTATCTCAGTCTTAATGATCAATAGATAACAAAATGGTTGGTTCTTACTCTCTCACATTACTTTTAATGAAGAAGAAAGTTATCCCTCGTTCATATGTTTCTATGTGCAGGACGAGTATGGCGAGTTAAAAGAGAGCAAACAGTCCATGAATGTCTTGGGTGTACTATTGTACTCATATATACAAAGAATACAAAATGATTGAGTAGTAAGTATCTAAAATTTTATTTCTGCCTAGATTTTTACATTCTTACCTTACAAACAAATTGTTTACTGAAAGTACCTTTGTTCATTCTTGACTGTCAGAAATTGATTTGTGAAATATCACATCCATTAACGCTTTGAAACAAGGATCAGCAGGGCTCTAAAATTTTGAGGTATACTTTATTGTAATTTATTCTATTTCTTCTTCTTGCATCCTTTAACATTACTTTCGTTTTGTGCGTTGTAAGAATCTAAGACTTCGTTAACTCTGTTTATTAGTCTCCGTAATTATAATTCAAGTTGGCGTTGCTTTTCCCTTCTCTTTTAATTTTGGCAGCTTATGTAGTTTTGCTGATAATTTGGTTGCTGGAGATTAATTTGAATGCATTATTTTGGGACCAGTTACCGCTTTGGACTTCAGGAGTGTGCTACATTCTTACATATGCAGTAGTCTCTAATGTATTCTGCTGTGCTAAAGAATCTAAGAACATGTATCCTCCTGCAACACCTACTTTTCTACCAGATTCTCAAGATAATTGTGCAAATCTACTACTCATGCTGGCATTGGCCCCTGGAGCTTGGATTTCTGGTTTAATTAATTGAACCACGCTGTTGTTGTACTGGATTCTTATTTTTCTGGTTGCTGCATACCTTTCTTCTTTTAGGGGGACAACAATGAATTTGCAACGCACACTCCTCTACCATGGAATGTTAATTTAGTGGTTGTTGAATACTTTTCTCCTTTGTCAAGGACAAAAATAAAGTTGCAGTACACAGCTTTACCAGATTGTCATTTAGTTGTGTGCTTAAGGGTTCTACTGGCTTCTGGAGGGCAACAATGAGTTTGAAAGAAACAGATAATTTGATGTCTAGGCATGATGCCTGGTAGGCTTTTGGATGATCCATGATTCAGAATCTTGCTTTGAAATCTCCTGATCATCATGAAGTCATTCAGAATTCAGACACTTTTGATTTAGGAGCTTCTATTCTCTCCTCCGTTACAATTCTTAAGTTTAGCGTTTCCCCCACAAAGGCTTCAACCTGTTACCCCCTCTGGAATAACTCAATCTTGATGATCAAACGATAATAATGTGGTTGGTTCTTACACTCTCACTTTACTTTTAATGCAGTAGAAAATTCTCTCTCATTCATATGTTTATATATACATGACAAGTATGGCAAGCTACAATTGAATAAACAAAACAATAGGATGCTTACTTTATGAGAATAGTAGGGAATCCTATTGGTTGCATTTCATGGAAGATGAATTGATAAAAATAGAGGAACAAGAAGAAAGTGACATTATATCAACACTTGCGTTACGATGATCTATCCTCACACTTGAAACAATGTTTTGCTTTTTGTTCATTGTTTCCCAAAGATTATGTGATTAACAAGGAGTCATTGATTAATCTTTGGATGGCTCATGGATTTCTTCAATCTCCAAATGCGAGCCAATCTCTTGAAGATGTCGGTAATGAGTATTTTGTAAATTTAGTTTCTTGCTCATTTTTCAAGATGTAACATACAAGAATTATCTGGTGACATGCATGATCTTATGCATGATCTTGCAACTTTAGTTGCCAAACTTGAGTGTATCTTGACTAAGTTGGACGCAAGAAATGTTGATGAAAGAACTTGTCATGTTTCATTTGATTCTATATAAGAGTCATCATGGAATATTCCAAATGCATTGCTTAGGGCAAATCATATAAGAACATTCATACTCCATGGTGGTTCACTTTACTAAAATAGTGACTTGAATGACTCACATTGCAGAAAAATGTTCTCAAGTTTTAAATGTTTACTTACATTAGGTTTGAGTGCCTCTAATATTAAGAATGTACCAAATTCAATTGGTAAATTGAAACATGTATGCTATCTCAACTTGTTTGATAACAAAGGACTTAATACATTTTCTAATTCTATAATGATGTTAGGAAATTTGCAAGTATTAAAAGTCAGTAATTGTCGGAAAATTAAGAAGTTGCCAAAAGATGTTATAAAGTTGGTGAATCTTAGATGTCTTGAGGTTGATGGCTGTTTAAATTTTGTTGGAATGCCACATGGACTGAGGCAATTGATTAGTCCTCAAAGTTTATCATGTTTTATATTGGGTGAGAAGGATGGGAAAATTGCTGATCTAGATGAACTAAATCAGTTAATCATCAACTTGAAAGGAAGATTAGAAATCGAGAAATTGCAAAATGCAACATCACAGCCCACTTTGTCCAACTTAAAAGCAGTGCAACATATTCAGTCCCTAGATTTTTATTGGACTGCATTTGGATTCGGTGAGTCTCAATATGATGACTTAGTGTTAGAAAGTTAAAACCACACCAAAATCTAAAATATCTTGTTATAGATGGGTTTCAAGGTGTGAGGATTCCTAATTGGCTTCCCACCCGAAGAAATCTAATTAAAATTGAAATTACAAATTGTCATTATTGTCGACATCTTCCGGCATTGGATCAATTACCTTTTTTGAAGAGATTGAGTCTTTACACAACTACAGATTTGGAGTATGTATCAGATGCTTCTCCTACAATGTCAATGTTAATGTCCTTTTTAACATCCCTTGAGGAGCTCGAAATTTTGACTTGTACAAATCTAAAGGGATGGTAGAGGAGAGATGATGGAGATATAATGCAATTGAAAGACCTACCTTCATTTGTAAGTTTTCAATTCCATCAACATATGTATATATTCACAATTTTCAATTTTGCATATGTTATAAACATTTATGGAATATTACGAAAGTAATTTAATTTTAATACTAACCTCCCGTCATAGCAATTATTGTTGAATATCAAATCTAGATTAACGCTTCTGTCTCTTGAATGTTTTACAAAATCTTCCAATTAACTAAAATTTCCAGTACGATGGTTTTTGGGTTAAAATTGCATTGATGGAACTTGTAATCTCTCCCATTGTATATGAAAGACAACTGCCCATGGGATAATGTAACTGCTTTACCTGCTTATTAGAACTACCTTCCCCATTATATATGCAATTTTCTTTTTATCAAAGACAACTGCCCATAGGATAATGTAACTACTTAACAGTTACCTGCATATTAAAACTATCTTTTAATAAAAAGTGCCGGACCAAATATGTAATAATTTTAATTAAATTAAAATTCCAACATCGTTTTCTTGTCTTTCCAATTTATATATCAACTAGATTGTTAGGAAACGATCAAGTCATGGTAGTGGAAAACAAAAATAATATATAACACATATTGTTCCTTAGAACCAAGATCAGGGCACAAATTTTCAGTTTATACATTAAATCAAAATTTGCAGAAAAATCTGTTTAGAGTTAAGAAATCATACGCACGTTTGGAGGCTCCTCCAACTTGTCTCTGAATGGGTTTCGCTATCGATCCAAGAGTAGGATCGAACTAGCGGTAGTCCACACGAAGATAACCACAAAGAATTAAAGAGGGATTTGCTAGATCCTTTTTAGCCTTAAGAACCAAGAACAAGAATCAAGTGATATTTGATTCAACCCAAATGTAAACTGGCGTGGGAAGAGAGAAAAGGGGGTTGGAGTTTTTAATTAAATGTGATTGAATGAATTGTTATTTAATTCACAAAGTGTTGCACTTATATAGTGCTCACAATGCCTTATTCCATCATGTAATAGGGTTGGGCACCAACTCAAATAGCCCTTATGTCCAAACAGCCCCATTTAGATATTTTTATTTTTATTATTATTATTTCAATTAAATTCAATTAATATACAAAATATATTAACATTTAACAATAACAATAATTCATTTAAATATATGCGTACACATATTTAAATATAATCTCACTTATTTAATTTTTAATGTCAAATTAAATAAAGTCAACAACCTCAGCAAATTTAATTGCACTGTGAGATCACCAAAATACCATTTTGCCTAAAAAGACAAAAACTCCCTTCTTATAAACTGGTTCTTAACTTATCTTCTATGTGTGTGACCCGTAGGCTCCTTATCATACCAGTAGTGTGTAGTATAGCGATTAACACCAATTAATCGTCTCACTACACACAGACCAAGATTGGCCCCTAGCAAGACATCATGCCCACCCAATAGATTCGGATTCAGCAAAGCAGCTACCTGTCAACTATATGGTTGCCGTACAATCCAATCCTTTCATCATTTGTTATCTCATCGAGACCGAGGCAAAAAAGTAGTGTCAACCTCAGTTACTCTCGATATGTATGTATTCAGTTACTGGACCAATGATCGGAATTATAAACTGGATAGAGCAATAACTCAATTCCACCGTGGCCACAGTTCTAGTGTCATTGCCATTTACTGAATTGCGTCGTGAGATAAATTCCCTCGCACCCGGAAGTGATGAATCCTCTGTCGATCCACCATAGTCTTGATACACTCCTTGATGCAGCCAATCACTACTGTATTGATAGCTCTGAATAGAACTGCGTTGGGCTAGTGTCAAACTACACCAATCGGTGCACAAGACGCTCTGGTGATCTCAAGTCTAAGGATCACATGCACCACCATTCGTTAGAGGATTTGTTCCATAGACACTGGGGTTACCATCTATATGGAATCCTCTAGTGGGCCAGTCCAGTGAACTTGCCTATAGCAAGCACCTTTGTGCAGCACCAGGTTGTCACCAAACAACCTTGACAAGTGAGATCAGTCACTGCCTTTTGACATGGTCGTTCAACACTATGATAGCCTTACCGTATTATCTGTGCCTTTACTTTAGAATAATACTAGAGCTACAGACATTTCTAGAATGGCCACCATATGTGCTCATAGGGTTCTCACTATCAAGATTTGAAACACTTGATACATTCGTCACGGTTCCACCATTCTAAGGACATATATCAATATATACAATAATGATTTACGTGATATAGAATAAAATGCATTTTATTGATCAATGAACATAATTATAAAAAGTCAATTCTACAATAATTGATTGGCTCTAGGGCATCCACTCTAACATAGATATGGGGTCTGCGTGTTGCGCGGGTATGTTTATTTAATATTTTTGGAATAGGTTGTAAAAATAACTTCTATATATGTACAAGTTTTAGAGTAAATATAACTTTTATATATGTATAGAGTTGTGTTAACATAAAATTAATAATTGTACCTTTATAATGATTAATATCAATTAATATTATGAAGATGAATTATTTGAACTTAAAATTTATATTGAGTTCATTTTCAGGTTTGATATTGACTATTTTTCTCACAGTATAGGATTCTTTCCAAGCTAAGGTTTGAAAGTAGACTAATTTCCATCTTTATACGTTTTTCTTGAAAATGGTTAGATTTTTGGAATGTTTATGTAATGTACTTATATAATTATTGTTAGTGCTCATCCAATGTGTGAAGATGGAAGAATAAAATCAACACCAAAATCAAGATAAAATTGAATATAGAGAATAATACTTTTATTATAAAAGAAATAAGTACATCACTTTTTTATACTATGAAGTGGATTTGGACAACATAGACTTTATTTTCTATTTTTCTTATAGTTGCTCGGTTCCTCTAGTGCATATGCATACTCTCTTTTGTTTAGGTTATAAATAACATCCATGACAAATTCCATGATTTGTAACAGCTGGCCAATGACTTCTGCGAATTTTTCTCTTGCAGTATGTAGATCATCCAGATTGGTCTCAACTTTTTTGAAAATCTCCCTCAATTCCGGCATTCCCTGAAAAATGTCTAAACCAATTGCAGAAACAATATACAATCAATTTTTATAAATATATGGAAGCGGTAACATGAATGTGTAAATATAATTATCAGATGAACTCTCGACATATCAAAAAAAAATTTTTTTTTAGTGGTTTTTATATTCCCGCAAATATGTATCATGGTTTTGTTTGCGATTTTGTAATTCAGGATACAAAAGATGTGGAACGTTTATACCTTCTAGTTGCCTCAGTGAAGAATTATTGTTGTTGAGGTCGTTGCTGGTATTCATTACAGATTCTTCCGATTGTGATGTTTTGTTAGCCATTTTCGAATTAAGTTTTGGAGAAGAAATGAACAATTATAATGTTTATTATATGAAGAAAGTTAAATGGGTGATTGATGTCAGAACAATATTTATAGGAGAATAGGATACGAAAAGGTGAAATATGAACGGACATTTGGTAATAAATAAACGTGTCAATCGAAAAAGGGTTAATAATTGTTTGGAAAAGGTAATACGAAACATTAGTAGACTAATTGTACAATATTAAAGAAAA